ACCGCACCGCACCGTGCCGGCCGGAAACCGACACCCCGAACACCACCAGGACGTAAACATCCCCGTCAAAAATCATCAAAAGCTGCAGAAAAGAGATCAAAAATGGCGACCAGTACTGTAAAGCTTTTTCTCCAGGGAGGAAAGTATGCAAAGGGGAGAGGAAGTGTTGGGGTAGCATTTGTGTCGAGGACCAGTGGCATCACCAGAATACTGGCAGCATTGTTCATAAACGACATACATTTTGCAAAACACTGTAATTTACAGTGCTTTGCGCCCAGTTGCATACATACAGACATGCATTCATGCATATAACATGCATACATACATACGCACATACATATATGCATACATACATACATACATACATTACACTACGCTACATTACATTACATTACATAAATTACATACATTACATTACATTACATTACGTTAATACATACATACATACCTGCCTACATACATACATACGACATACATACATACATACATACATACATACACACATACATACACATACATACACATACATACATTTACATACACATACATACACAAACACATACATACACACACATACATACATACATACATACGTATACGTACACAAACACATACATACATACACACATACATACATACATACATACATACATACATACACACACATACATACACATACATACACATACACATACATACACATACATACACATACATACGCATACATACACATACATACATACATACATACACATACATACACACATACATACATACGGTGCCCTCACTACATAAAATCACACCCGAAAGCATACATCAAAGCATACAATGAACCAAACACACAGGAATCACCAACAAATTTTTAGAAGAGGTGTGTTTTTTTTGGGAGGCGTACCATAGTGTGGACCATATATTTGCAGATAGAGAGAGAGAGAAACAAACAATTGCTCTATTGCATGGGATTCGATGGAAAGACGGACTATGTGGATGTTGGGGGCAGTTCTGGTCAGCTGACGACCTGGCAGGTGTATGAAAGCCTTATGCAAGCCTTTCCGGTGCCTATCCTTCCTGGGAGGGCGCAAGCCGCCCGATCAGTGCGGCTATCCAGCGCAGTCTACCTGTCCGATTCATTCGTTGAACGAGCATCAGAGTTCTCACAACTGATTGCAAAGGAACGTCGGTTTTGCGCAGGTACTCCGTGACAGAAGGCCAGCACTTGGCCAAGACCGTCGAAGAAGATGACGATGAGGACGTGTTGTTTTCAACACTTTCGAGTGAAAAACCTGACACGTTGTGACAGAAATGGTCTCGCCGCAAAGCGGAAACTGAAAGTGCATGAACTCGTTCACGAAAGGAGGACTTTTTCGGAGATTCCTGGGGAGAGGGTGGTGCGAGTGGATCGAGTGCATCTCAGACAAAGGAGGCTGGGCCGGATCAACGACTTGGTTTGTCGACCTACTGGTACCCAGGACGTCCGTGGATCACCACCCTTTTCTTGTGGGATTGGGCACACGACACTCAGAACGAACAGGTGGAACATTTTGTTTCACCTTTACTTTCCAGGGAAACTCAGGTGCACGACATAAAGTTTGTATATAATATATATTATACAGTATATAATATATACACGTATGACCTTCATTGGTTTTCTATGGTGCAAAAAAATATCGTAAATGGGTGTGTTGGAGTGTGGATCTTCCTGGAGTGAGGGTGCTCCACAGCGAGTGTGGTGGAGGGTGCAAGGCCAGCTAGGCTGCTGCTGTCGGAGGTGACACAGGGAGTGGTCCAAGAACCTCTGAAGAGTTTGTGCGTTTCTTCGGTTTAGGCGTGGGTTTACCTGCTTTACCTTGGAACTTGCCACCCAGAAGCCCACTGGTCAAGGACAACCACCGGAAAAGAACGCAAATCCATCGACTGAACAATCCAAGATGGGACATTTCAGGATTCTTGAATATGACCCGTACGTGATTTCCCGGAGGGAGATCACACTGGTAGCTCCTAGGATCTCCTAATCCTACCAAACCTAAAGAACAATATACCCGTCGCCGTAACGTTACACATCGGTGCACGTTGCCCTTGGCGAAATCGCATCGCCTTCAAACATGTTCTGCCTCCAATGGTTAATGACATAGTCCAATGACCCAACCATATATGGTTCTTCGGAAGGGGCCTAGAATCCCCCAAACCCACCCAACCTATGCCATACTGAACCGGTGCTTCATCTCAAAACAGAGAGGCCCACAGGTCCAAATCCATCCCAACATCCGGGCGGAGCTTCCCAGGTCGGTCCCCGTGGGCACCGAACCGGTTCTTTTCCATGAAACACCTGGTCCACGAGGCTCCTACATCTATCTCATGACATATCGTTCTGAAGATGGGCGACAGTGTTCAAAACCACTGCTCGTCCTTTCATCTATTTCATCATATTTCATCTATTGCCTAGATTCAAAAAGAAGAAGAAGATCACAAAACTCGTCGGTCTTGCTTCCCTCATCAACATGTCATGACTGCATCACCTCCATCTTCCCCCAACCAAACAAGCGTCGAACATCGTCAAAACAGCTTCAGCTCTGCACGTCTGAGAGTCACCATCCCAGTGACTCTCCGACTCGAGTCGCCAGGCTGAGGCTCAACGTGGGGGAGCATCTCAGTTAGCAAGAAGCGCAAGGAACAACAAGCAGAGCAAAGTCATGAGAAGCTCCATATTGATGTGTACGTATGAGAAGATGTGTTTCAGTCACGTATCTCTTCAGTCACGTTTTGTGCGGTGTCTTTGTAAAAAAAGCGGACCCCCACGATCCTCTCTGGTTTCGATCTTGGACCCCCAGACGTTCCGAGGTGGATCGAAACCCCACGCGAGACACGACAACCAAACGACCCGTGGCACCCACGGGCGGTGCGGAGCCCCGGTGAGAAGCCGAGACGAGCCGAGCGGAGGCCAGTCGTGTTCGGGGGGTGGACGTTAAGGGGGTGCACGAATTCAGGTGACGAAGTCACGAAGTCAGGTGACGAAGGGGATGGAGGATTGGAGTGAGGTGCCTTGGAAACACCCAGTCCTGGGCAGTGAGGAGCGTAGCTTTCCCGACTCGCTACGTCGCTTCGTCACACATGGGGCAGTCGAACTGTCTCATCGCCTGTGGTTGGGTCTACCAAGAGGTTGCTTTGGTGAGTGTTTGGTGGGTTTGCCTGGGTTGTAATTTCCGACACTCAGATCATGAATGGAGGGTAGGTGCTTGGGGGTTGTTGGGGTAGTGCCCCTTTTTTCCCTGAAAGCTAGGGTTCAACACTTTTTTGGTGGAAGCTGTCTTCAAAGGTGCTGCCTAGAGACGGAAACGATGATTCCGAACTATTCCCTTGCGGCCTCAGCCAAGAAAACGGGCCACCAGTGCCGGAACGAGGGTTCACCGCTGCCAGGCAACAACTCTCAGGGTAATGCACAAACTCCTGGCAAACCTGGGAAGAAGCAGGACTGCGGTGGGGAAGGCGCAATGGTCTGATCGAGATAAACGGTCACAGTTTTTTCATGGGGACGCGGTGAATTGAATTGACGGAGCCTGGAGTCCTTGAGTGTAGAGCCTATCCCATCATATCCCATGTACAAGGATGTATGAGGTCTATGACTTTGGCAAACATACATTGCACTTGCTATCACACAAACATGAGTATATACTATTATTGTTATTGTTATTATAATTATCATTATATATATATATATGTGCGATATGTGCCATGAGAGATCTCTTGTGGACTTAAGAGGGTGAGACAGGTGCACACAGCACGTAGTTGTTGAACAAGGTCACTTGCGAGGATGACTGACCAGGAACTGACCATTTCTCGCTCAACATTCGCTCTCCTTTGTGGAACTTTGACTGGTCACTCCTATCTCGGGACTTGAGTTCACTTGTTGGAGTTTCGCATCCCACTGTTCTCCGATTTAGGGGGTGCATGGTGCGACCGGGGGGTTGGTGCACAGGGTCCGTCGGGAGACCTCACACACGAGACCGATCGTCGATCGTTGGAGGTGTCCGGCGACTTGGACGAAGACGTAGAAGAGCGACACATCCGATTAGTCTATATAAACATCGGTTGAAGGGTTCCCTCTTGAAGATGAAGTGCCGTGAACCATTTGCGATGACGATGGCATCAGAGCCGTTGCATGCAGATGTGGACTTTGACCAGCCACTTCTTGCTTTCCCCCGAGAATTCCTTGCGCAACAGAAGGCACATGCACGTTTCTTCTTGCGAGCGACCATTGGGCAACGGGGTTCAGCCTCTTGCACAACCGAGAGCGTCCGCAGATTGACAGGAGGCGGATTTCTTCAACGAGCTGGGCATGGAACCCGAATATCGAGCACCAAGGCCGTGGATTTGTAGTATTCCGCCACGGATGGGATGTCAACGCAAGTCATCGCTTCGGCTGGTCGGCCACGGCCACGGCGACCGGCATGCCGACAAGGAGTGAACGCTTGGGGCTGCTCAGGTCATACATGGTCCTACCGGTCGGTCGTCAGGTGAAAGAAAAGCTGCATCCATGGAGTTCGGACCGGTATCAGGGTGAGGAATTCATCAGGTCCAGAAAGCTCGTAAACCTGAGTGGTTCCAGGGCGGAGATCACGCACGGAGATCACTGGAGAAATCACCGGACCTCCGTGGGTAGATCTGCCCGAGATCTTCTGCCCCAAGCAAGAAGCCAACTCCTGGAGGGCTTGGAGACATCAACATTCCTGATTTGGGGGTGAAGGAGGATCCGTTGGATTTGCATCCTTCATGTCGATTTCTGCCGACTTAATGAGGGGGTTCCAGACCGGGGTTGTGGTGTTTATCCAGAGACTTCTGTCCGCCAGGGTTTTGGACAAAGACAAGGGTCCTTCGGTGAGCTCCTTGCTGGACGAGGGCGAGGCGCTGCACGGCACTTCAAGCTTTTGCCGTGGTATTTACCAACACGGCAAGAAATGATCGTTCAAGCTCATAGAGACAACTAGGCAACTACTTTATGCCGTGGTAAGCTCTTGCCGTGGTATGAACAACACGTTGGCGTAGTGTCAAGATATCTATATCATTCTACATCATATACTATAGCAATGGACTCGCATCCTGAGCGTTTTAGGCTAAAGAGGTGAAAAAGCATGGCTTATGGGACGGGCTGTCGGCTTGTCTCCCACCACCGAGCTGTTTGCAGGGGCGTGTGGGCCCAAGTGTTTTTTTTTTTTTCGTTGGATGTATGATTTTGCAAGACTCTTTTGGTAGTTAAAGCTTGATCAAGCAAGCCGTGACATGTGAAACCTTCCTCACAAACCTGTAATTAGTTTCCTTTGGTGTCAGTTGTTTTCTTTGCCAGAGGAAGAGTACAACATTGTTCTTGTTCGATGAGCTTACGTACCTAGACCTAGGAGTTGTTTTGATTTCTTGGTGGGGCTATTCCAGGGAGGTAGGTCTATGTTGTGCTCATGTCCCAAGCAAAGATGTTCAAGAAGTCCAGGCTTTCAGGAGTTCCATTGACTCACTTCTCGTCACGCACGACCGGGTCCGGGTCTGCCCCACCACAGCGACCGGCAGTGTCGCGGCAGCGATTGGCAGGTTTCGACGGCCGCTTGGGGCAACGACGATTTGGATATTTGACTCACTTGATGTCAATGCATGGTAGTTTCAGAGGCTTGGAGAGGCATTGGGGCATTCAGGGCAGTTCATGGGTTGTTCGACAAAGTGGCCACAGAAGCTTCATCTCTTCAGCAAACTAGATGGAGTGTTTGTTGAAATCCATGGAACACCTACATAGGGGACAACAAGCAACTACAGACCCACCAAAGACCGAGGAAAGTCCCGCCAGGATTGAGGCAGTTCCCAGAAGGATCGTCCTGAAGTAGGTTGATGCCCCCTGCCGACTGGCGTAGTGAAGATCAGCTGCTTGTCGACTGCGCAAAAGTCTGTGCTGGATCCTTCCGCAGGGTGTTTGGTCGAACATCAACTGGAAGACTGTTGTGACGTCAAGGTTCCTGTAGATTCACATCGAAACCATATTCCGACAGGCTGTTGCTGTTCCGGGGATTTCTCCCAGCATCCTTCAAGAAAAACCATCAATCATGTTCAATCTTCGATAGCTGAGCATAGTCACCCTTCAAGTGCAGGTGTCACAGGAGATTCAGAGGGTTGCCGACGGTCTGGTTCGCCACACATGTCGTTGCTCAGCCATGATGCTGCCTAGCCATTGTCTATCCTCCTTCTGAGAAAGATCAAGAGAAGCAGATGCAAGATGATGCCAGCATGCAAAAAGACCTTTTGTGATTGACCCCCACCAGGTTCTAGAAAGGAATGTAAGAGCCTCAGAGCACACCTGGACCAAATGGAATCACACTTGCAACCGAGTAGTTAAATAAAACCACCCAAGACTGTTGCTTGGGGGATGAAGTCCTCTTGAGTCCAGCAGCAACCGCAGCACTGAAAGTCCAGCCAAATGTGTGGCCCTCACCAGTGGTCCACTGAAGCTTTTTCCTCGGAACTTTGAGCCGATGAGTCCCACCATGAGCCCAAAGATTTGGCTGTGCGTGTTGACAGCGGGAAGCTAAGCTGACTTGAAACTGGTGAACGTGTTTCAGGGGGTTGGAAGTTGGAAGCAAGGGAAAGCATAGCGAAGAGCAGAAGATGAAACGATCCGAATCAATTCCTGAGGTCGGCTCACTGGCAGACACCAGCTGCCCACTGACAGGTGCTCCTTCGGTTCAGGGTCCGTTCAGGGTCCGTTCATTCGTGCAGCTCGGTGCAAGGGGATTTCTGGAACATTCGCAGTCCTGGACCCCGACGTTCAGCATGCTTCTGGAGGGAAGTGAACCACATCCGCCGTCTCGTTCTCGTTCGATGCTGGAGTCCCGGAGATCAACTTCAGACACGGGAGAGGGGGCACCCTGTCTCACCAGGTTCGTTTTGGGCAAGTTTGACTCATGGCTTCCTTGCCAAGCCCATCCCCCACGGTCACCATCCCCCAGGACCATCCCCCACGACCATCCACCGGCCCGATGTGGTTCTCGGCGCAGGTGGGTTTTTGGTGTGGAGGTTGGCTGGTTTGAGGGGTCGGCCCTTTTCCGGGGGCCTTCTGTGGTTCAATGGATTTGAATTGATATACTGTAATTAAAGGGAAAATCTACACCAAACATCAGGAAACCATTGTTTTCACTCTTTAAACTGTGGGTCTCCTGTAGATGTTACCTTTTTCTTACGCTTCCATCCGACGGATGGTGAAAGTCAGGAGATTTTCACCTTTAGACCAATTCTGGGACTGTTGCAGTCTTCCTTTCTTCTCCAACGGCACTTCGACCAGGTAGTCGGACTTCGCCGGCGAACGTGATACCAAACAGTGCCACCTGGGCGAACGTTTGGACGATGTGAGTCGTGTTTAGGAAGGACGGAGGTGATGTAGTCATGACATGTCAGAAGGACTAGGTCACTAGGTTCTAGATAAGGGAAGCAAGACCAACGAGTTCTGTGATCTCCGTTTTCTTTTTTTTTAAAGTGAATGTTGAATCTGGGCAAGAGATGAAAGGACGAACAGTGATTTTGAACGCTGTCGCCCAGGAAGAATTCCATTTCATGCTATTTGCATACCATCTCCCTGGACCTTCCAAACAGGTGTCCTCCAGACCAGTTCGTGCGCAGAAACCACCGATGTCGGGTGTTTGAAAAAAACTGCCAACCGCCTGGCAGGTCCTGGTCTGTCCAGTGTCTATCCTGACCCAGGTCGAGTCTGACCCAGGTCTCCTAGTCCTGAAAACCTCAGTCTTTCGTAGTGGTTTCATAGTGTTTCTGTATCCCAGACACGACACATGGGACTGCCATAGGACTGCCCCATTGACCCCCAGTCAACCACCCCAATGGGGCGGCAGATATGGCAGTCCCATGGAGTGTTTCTGTATGATCAACTCCAATCAAATGAGGTCTTGGAACATCTTGGAACTGTACGATCGGTATCAGGACGCGTGGATTGTGCTCCATTTTGATCACCAGTTTCCGCGCGACGACGTGTGATTTTTTGTTGCCGGTGCCGAAGAAACAGTTCTGGCCCCCCATTGAACGAGGATTTCTGGCCTGAACCGTGTCGGAGGTGGGGACAGAGTGTGAAATACCACTCAATAGCACCTCATGTCTGACTGAGGCACCAATCTTGGTCATGATACCACTGGAGATGCCTCCAAGATCGCCTCAAAACCGCAGAGAACAGAACGTGGCACCCCAACTGAACAGCGAAATTTCAGCGGGCACCAAAATGAGCGGCACCACCCCAATCCCCCAATCCCCACAGCTGTCTCAGCAACGCCCGACTGAGGCTCATAGCGTCACAACTTCAGTGCTGATGCAGTACAAGGTGCGACGCGACGGCGAGGGATCAAGGGCGAGGAGGAGTGCACGGATCGAACGAGGCGCCGGGAGCGGTTTGGGCGGTGCCAGAGTTTTGGAGTGCCAACGGGGGTGCAGACCACATGTAGACTCTTGATTTTATATTCAAATTCAATTATATGGGAGAGGATCATACACTGTAAGTCTATATTATTCCCAACAGCAGTATGACTGTTGGGTTTCAATCTCTAGGTTTGGGAGTGGTGCCGCCTCCGACTGCTCAGACCAAAATCCGGAACCGGAACCCTGCAACCCTGGAACCCTGAAACCCTGGAACCCTGGAACCTTGGAACCCTGGAACCCTGGAACCTTGGAACCTTGGAATCGTGGAACCCTCAAAATGTGAACGCTAGAGCCCTGAAAAGGTGAATGCTAGAACTCGGCATTTGGGTCATGTGGGGCGGGGGGGGCAGGGCGGCGCATGAAATCAAATCTGGAATTTGAAAACCCTGGAACCTTGGATCTTTGGAACCTTGGAACCCTGGAACTCTGAAAAAGGCTCCTGAAAGCTTCGCTGCCAAAGTTGATATGTGTGGAATTTTTGACATGCTTAAGCATGCTTGTCAAATCGTCTTGGCTGTGCTTGTGCAATCATTGAACAGGAGGATGCTGCGATGAAACGTTTTACTTGCTACATTTGCAGTTGTGTTCTTCAAACAGAGAAAAACAAAACCCGCAAACACGGAATCCTTTCTGGTTTGTGTAGTCGCTCTATCACTGCTTGATGGGCTGCGGGTGATGGCGCGTGAGCCATGACCTTAGGGGCCCTTAGGGTATGTGCGAACTTGGATTGGCCTCTGCTTGCCTGTGCTTTCAAAGAACAATTTGCAAAATATTTCGTTTGGCAAGGTGCATGATGGCTTTGACATTGAAGGCCAGATCAGCATTCATGATTTCCTTCCTGCTTGGATTGGATATTTTGTTGGCTTCTAACATTTGGGTTCCCTGTATTTTCAAAAACCGCTTTGCGAGGCATTTTGTTTGGCAAGATGCGATTGGTTTTGAGATTGAAGGCTCGATCAGCATCTCTGATTTGCTTTGTGTCTTGCAATTGCAGGTTGATTCGCTAGCGACGATGCGACGTTTCGACGACGCGACGACGCCACAACGTGACGACGCGATGACGCGACGACGACGACGACGCGAGTAAAACTGCAAGGATGGTTTCGCTTTAGCCCGAAAGGTATTATACAAAATTATGTGTTGACAATTATTCCTTCTAAAGATTTGGAAGTTTCGAAACATATATAGCTTAGTCCTTGAGTTCTTTCCTTTTTCCCTTTTTTTCTGTATGTGCGCTTGGCCTATCAATTTTTCAAGCCTTGGTACTCATGTTTTACACACAAGCTGTGAACTTTGAATTCTTGCAACTTGACGCTAGCTTGCCATGCTTACTTTTGTGGCGTAAGAAAAAAGCGGACTTGCATGCGGTGCTCACTTTGACAATGTTGGGTTTGGAAGACCAAAAATTTGGCAGCATTTCTTGGAATCTTGGGCGATTCTGAGAGATTCAGGCATCCTTCGTGCACAAACCATTGACATGAACTTGAGGTAGGGGGAGGTATGGAGTAAGGTAGCGAGTGAGCTAGGGAATGACGTATGGAGTGAGGTAGGGAGTGATGTATGGAGTGAGGTATGGATTTGTTTGCCCTTGCCATGAACGCCTTTTGTAGCTTCTTCGTCCAGGGATTGCAATTTGAAATTGAACGCCGTTTCGGCCAGCAATCTTCTGAAACAAAGAGGGTAGGGTGAGGCAGGGAGTGATAGGGAGTGAGGTATGGAGGGAGGTATGGAGTGAAGGAGGGAGTGAGGTATGGAGGGAGTGAGGTAGGGGGTGAGGTAGTGAGGTATGTGAGGTAGGGAGTGATAGGGAGTGAGGTAGGGAGTGAACGCTGTTTTGCAATTTTGTATGTAGTTTTCCTGCCCAACCCATGCGCCAGCTGTTCAGCCGTAATCTGTGGAAGAACAATGCTTGTGTAGCGTTGCCTGGCCTGGCAGCAGTATAGGCATTCGTGAAGAGACAAAAAACAAAACACACACATATACACTACCAAGACATGTCAATGGTGGGGTTAACTCGAAGGACAATAAGCTTACGCAAACATAAGGGGTTGCGGTATCCAAACATTTGTTTTTGCAAGCATGGTTCAGGGTAGGGTCAGGTGCTGCAGATACCTTTTCTGGAGAATATATGTTTTTAAGATCACGATCTTTGGGCCCCTTTCAAGTTCAATCTGCAGCGGCTACCCTGAACCATTGCAACGTGAACGAATTTATAGTATATTTTTCGATATACAACCAAAATCCTCCGTTTGTGTTGGTTGCAAGTTATTACAATCTCGCATGGTCTATCTGCTTCGACAAAATGAATTTGAATTGTGGAATGACACAGCTTTTGTCGATTTTTAAGGAGAGAAGCTGTTTGAACATCAGCTTGTCCAGGGACGTAGCGATTTCTGGTTGGATGCTCTTTCCTTGAATCGCCAAGCTCTCTCCAAACGCTGTGCCTTTCAAACAAAACAGCTCACTATCCAGGCCTCAAAACGATCATCCTCTTCTGTCACGCGCGCTAGCACCATAGTGTTGCTGGAAGGATCGCCCCTTGCAAACGCAAAGCTTAAAATTAGAACGTTCGTTTGCCCAGTTGACCCTCTCAACGTCCACTCCGTTTCACTCTCTTTTGACCTCGAGCGTAGCCGCACAAATTCGGATGATTGGGGAGAATGATTTCGCAATTTTTCACCATTGTGTGTTCTGTTCTTAATGGGTGGGATATCATGGGTTTCTAATGAAACCACATTATTTTGCGTTCGCTGGGGCAACTTGCGATGTTCCCAGCAAGTTTACATAGCGGAACACCTTGAAACATGGCTGGCCAGCCCCATGTTCCGAGGAGCCACTGTCTCCTGAAGAAAGGCGACAGCTACTACAGAAGCCTTTTTTGCCAGGCACTTGAGTATTGGAAGGGCTTTTTGCAGATTCTCACGTGCAAACTCCTGACAAGTCCGAACTTGGCAAGCCTAAGATGTAAGAAGGGTGCAGTATGTGAAACCTTCCATGGCAGGCTATTGCCTCGCGAGGTTTTGCTTTGCTGGTAGCTCTGCCTTTTTTTGGCGAATAGTTTTTCTACAACTGAAAGAGATCAAGAATTATTTCAAGTTTCAAAGAACTTTGGTTCCCTTTTCAACTTCCTGTTCTGGGACTGAAACCTCCACCGTTGATGCATTTTTGATGCAAGTTCCACACTTTGTCAATCTCTGGCTTCAAATTTGTGTACGCGGTTTCACGCTTTGGCAAGAGACCTCGCACTTTCTTATTGTCGGGGTTTCAGGAGCTCGACACACGCATTCCTTGCCAAGGGTATTGCGAGCGTATCCGTAATACACATTTTACTTGCGACTTCGATTCGAACGCGCGATCTCCCGAAAGGATTGCGTAGGGAAGCAAAGACGCTACTAGTAACAAAGGGCATCGCTACTAGGAGCAAGGACGCTACTAGTAGCTCCTGGCCTTTACTACTAGTAACAAGAAGCTAGTAGGTTCTTTTCGGGCCCGCGCAACTCGCATTTGACCTCAGCTTCGCGACTTCAACACGCGCGACTCATGCAGAAAGGATGGCGAATAATTGCATACTGCTTTTGAATCGCTCAATATTTCTACGTTTATTGAAGCTATTACGTTGGAGGCCATCGCTATTGCAATGTCACAAAGGGTTCACTTTCCTGGCGTCGCGTCCGCCCCACCCTTCGCCTTGAGAGAAGTAAAAGAAGAGTGAAAACATGAAGATCTGCAGGCGTTTTTTGTTTGTTCTTTTTGCGCGCACCGACGTCATTCAATGGCTAGCGAGTCCCTCCGTTCCCTGATTGTATGAAATCCATTTTGACGACGTCATGAGAAGAGATCTTGACGCTGCACCCTTGACTGTTTGTAGAACTTCCGACGCTTGCGTAGGGAACGCGTTGGAAATTTCTTTGCGCTAAAAGGTGTTCTTTGGCGACCTTTCTGCAAACAACATGCGGTTCAGAAGAAGCTTGTGAAGGCTGCTGGCGCGGATGTGAGAGAATTGGCGCATGAATAGTGATGTAGGCATACTTCGATTCGAACGCGCGATCTCCCGAAAGGGTTGCGTAGGGAAGCAAAGACGCTACTAGTAACAAAGGGCATCGCTACTAGGAGCAAGGACGCTACTAGTAGCTCCTGGCCTTACTACTAGTAACAAGCTAGTAGGTTCTTTTCGGGCCCGCGCAACTCGCATTTGACCTCAGCTTCGCGACTTCAACACGCGCGACTCATGCAGAAAGGATGGCAAATAATTGCATATTGCTATTGAATCGCTCAATATTTCTACGTCTATTAAAGCTATTACGTTGGAGGCCATCGCTATTGCAATGTCACAAAGGGTTCACTTTCCTGGCGTCTCGTCCGCCCCACCCCTCGCCTCGAGAGAAGTAAAAGAAGAGGGAAAACATGGCGTTTTTTGTTTGTGCTTTTTGCGCGCACCGACGTCATTCAATGGCTAGCGAGTCCCTCCGTTCCCTGATTGAAATCCATTTTGACAACATCAAGAGAAGAAACCTTGACTGTTTGTAGAACTTCCGACGCTTGCATAGGGAACGCATTGGAAAATTATTTGCGCTAAAGTGTTTTCTTTGGCGACCTTTCTGCAAACAACATGCGGTTCAGAAGAAGCTTGTGAAGGCTGCTGGCACGGATGTGAGAGAATTGGAACATGAATAGTGATGTAGGCATACTCTCATGGTCGCGTGCGCATGCTGTCATGGTTGCATGCGCGCAAACGCATCTGCGTCTGCGCAAAGAAAAGATGTTTTGCCTTGGTACGTCTGCGCAAAGAAAAGATACGCCGACGCATGCGTAGTGATGTAGGCATGCTATCGTGGTGGCGTCCGCATGCTGTCATGGTTGCATGCGCGTATACGCATATCCTTATGCGCAGAGAAAATTTACAGT